CGAGTTCTGCCACCCTGGACCAATCGGGCTGCACTTTTCTGCCAAATGATGGGGCCCCATCTCAGGAACGCGAAATCATGATTACGGACATGGGGGGTTATCGGGATGAAGTTTCGAGGAAGCTTCGTCCCGATAACATCGAATTCAGGGTCCACAGGACGCGTACTCTGTATTGACAGGGTCCATAAGAACACTACACTGAGAGTGTACACAAAATTACAGGGTCCGCTAAAGCAATACTCTGAATGGATCAGGGTTCAAAAGGCTATAAGACTGAAATTACAGGGACCACAAAGTGACAAGTCTGAAATCACCCTGAAATCAAGGTAATTACCCTGATAAAATCAGCCCTGTGAGGGAGAGGCAGGGTTTTTTTTTTGCGTTTTTCACTACTCGGATTTTCAGGGTTGTTTTTTTGGAAACTCTGAAAATCAGGGTTGATCCTTAGCGTTACTTTGATTTGTCAGAGGAAACTTAACTTCTGAAAAAAAAATCCTGTGCAGACAGTGTAATTATTTTCTCTACTCTCCTAGTATTGAACCCTGCACCTTCGCGTCCCAAACAAAAGATTTATACCATTATGCTAACACTACCATGAAAGTACATTATTTATTTTTATACCATGGTCTTTTTCTTCCGCGTGACTCACCATCTGACGCTGGCAAACGAGGGGGGTTCGCTCGGAGCGCCTGTACCCTGTACAGAGGAAATGGTAAACTCCTGAAAATTACACAGGCATCAGAGTCCCTTACAAGATTACTCTGACAAATCAGAGAAAAAGTAACTCCAACAAAATTTACCCAGCAAGTACAGAGTACCCTATAAAAACCACCCTGATTTTCAGAGAAACAGAGTAATTTACTCTGATAAAATAAGCCCTGGGGAGAGGAGACGGTGGAGGGCGAGGCGAAGGAGGAGGCTGCAGAGTGGAAGGAGGGGTGCGATGGGTGGGTTGAGGGGAGGAAATCGTGCAGAGAGGAGTGTGGGAGCTGCAGGGAGGGGAGAGGGCGGGGGAGAATGAGAGGGGTAGGAACAGGTGAAGATTAGGACAGGTGAACACGGACATGCAGGTGGCAGCGCTGTTGTTGCGAAAGGTGCAAAGAGGCACATGCACACAGAATCTCACCTGTGGAAAGAGAATCCTGACAGCCTCATCCTCCTGAGAGGAGGACGGAGAAATTCCTCTCCCTCCCCCTCCAGTATCCCCAAATTTCCCTCCACTGCTCATGCCCCCAGCAATGCCTACACCCGCTCGCATGCCCTTAAAGCCTGGTCCGGAGAAAGAGGCAGAAGCATCAAGTGTGCCCTTTGCAGCTCCTGAAGTGCTCCAGAGGTCGAAGGCTTCGAGAGAGGAGAGAGTGAGGGAGAGAGAGGAGAGAGTGAGGGAGAGAGGAGGAGCTGGTCCAGACACGTGAGTTGAGCAGCAACCCTCGCAGCATGAGGCTCAGAATGTCCCGCCGAGAGTAGCTGGGAGGAAGGTGAAAAACGGAAAGAACAGGGGGAGCTGGACTGGTGGTGTGCTGGTGGGAGGATTTCAAGCAGGGAGAGAAGGAGACGTGAAAGAGATGAAGTGGTTTTTAAGGTCGGCTTGTCGGCATGAGGGATTGGCAACTGAGGACCATGTCAGATTACAATTGTATCTCTAGGCTACAGTAGGGTCACTCCTTAGTGAGTACAACACTTTAGGGTTAGGTTTCCTCTACTTGTACTCACCTCTTGCCTAGTTCAATCATTCATTCCTGCTTATTCTAACATGGTATTAGAGCAGAATCGTTCCTAGGGCCCACCGAACGTTCCGCCCTGCCCTAACCGTAAATTTTTCTTCCTACGCTGCCCTTGCAGCCGCGCTGCCCTTGCAGCCCGCGTGCTGCCCCTGCGACCGCGCTGCCCCTGCAGCCGTACTCGCCCCTGCGACCGTGCTGCCCCTACAGCCGTGCCTGCCCCTGCGACCGTGCTGCCCCTGCAGCCGTGCCTGCCCTTGCGTTCGTGCTGCCCCTGCAGCCCGCGCGTTCGCCCCTGCAGCCCGTGGGCGCTGCCTCTGCAGCCCGCGCGCCGCCCTGCCGAGCCGCGCGTCGCCCCTGCAGCCCGTGGGAGCTGCCCCTGCAGCCCGCGCGCCGCCCTGCCGAGCTGCGCGTTGCCCCTGCAGCCCGTGGGCGCTGCCCCTGCAGCCCGTACGCCGCCCTGCAGAGACGCGCGTCGCCCCTGCAGCCCGTACGCCGCCCTCCAGAGCCGCGCGTCGCCCCTGCAGCCCGTGGGCGCTGCCCCCGCAGCCCGCGCGCCGCCCCGCCGAGCCGCGCGTTGCCCCTGCAGCCCGTGGGCGCTGCCCCTGCAGCCCGTACGCCGCCCTGCAGAGCCGCGCGTCGCCCCTGCAGCCCGTACGCCGCCCTGCGGAGCCGCACGTCGCCCCTGCAGCCCGTGGGCGCTACCCCTGCAGCCCGCGCGCCGCCCTGCCGAGCCGAGCGTCGCCCCTGCAGCCTGGGCGTCGCCCTGCCAAGCCGCGCGCCGCCCCTACAGCCCGCGCGCCGCCCTGCCGAGCTGTGCGTCGCCCCTGCAGCCCGTAGGCGCTGCCCCTGCAGCCCGCGCGCCGCCCTGCCGAGCCGCGCGTCGCCCCTGCAGCCCGTGGGCCGCGCGCAACCCTAATTCCTGAAAATATATATATATATATATATATATATATATATATATATATATATATATATATATAATAATACTACTACTGCTACTGCTACTCATGCTACTGCTGCTGCTGGTGGAGGTGCTGCTGGGAGTGCAGGAGGTGCTGCTGGTACTGTATGAGCTGGAGGTGCTGGACCTACTCCTGACCGTCACTGTCTGTCATGGCCACTTCTGCGGCAGTTGCTGCGGTCAGGGGTGGACAGCAGCGGGCACTACTTCTCCCGGACAACCCCACCCCTCAGCAGCTTCGTGAGTGGGTTATTCAGCGAGGTCGTCCTGGTGGTGGAGGTTATTGTTTTGTTAAGACTGCTGCTCTTGGTGCTAGTGAGTCTGCTGCTACTCCAGGTGCTAGTGAGTTTGCTGCCGCTCCAGGTGCTAGTGAGTCTGCTGCAGCTCTAGGTGCCCGTGAGTCTGCCGACGCTCTAGGTGCTAGTGCGTCTCCTACCACAGGTCATGCCTCAGCTGAGGTCTTGCACACTTTCACGCTTGACTCAGGCGCGTCACGTTGCTTCTTTCGTGATTGCACCACAGTCACACCACTCACAGCACCTGTCCCAGTCTCACTGGCTGACCCCTCCGGGGGCCCAGTAGTTGCGAGAGCCTCCACGGTCCTGCCTTGTCCAGCAGTCCCCTCCGGCTCTCTGTCAGGTCTCCACCCCCCCACGTTCTCGACGAACTTGGTGAGCAACGCTGCCATTCAGGATGTCTGGGTTGATACCTTTATTCCTGGAGGGCAGCGTGTGGCGATCTGTACGTGCTCCCGGACTGGCCGTCACCTAGCTACGTTCACTCGATAGCCTCGGTCTAGTCTGTACACACTGACCACTGCGTCTGCACAGGTGGCTGAGTTAGGTCAGGTGGCTGCGTCGAGTCGGACGTCTGCGTCGAGGCAGTTAGTTGCGTCTTGCTCGTGCAGAGTACTCACGCACGAGACTCAGCGCTGGCACCACCGTCTTGGTCACCCCTCCCTGCAGCGTCTACGCAGTATGCACTCCCGTCTCCTTGTCTCTGGCCTCCGTAGGACCCTGCCCCCCCTCCCGCGCTCACTTGCGCCGCCGTTCCTTCCTTGCGTCGAGGGGCGGCAGCGCGCCGCTCCTCACTCCTCCGAGTTTCCTCCGACCACTGCTCCTTTGCAGACTCTCCACCTGGACGTGTGGGGCCCGGCCCCAGTCGGTGGGACGGACCTGGAGCGCTACTTCCTGCTGGTTGTTGACGACTACACACGCTACACCACAGTCTTCCCCTTGCGTCGCAAGGCGGACGTCAGCGGTGTTTTGATCCGCTGGATCCGTGCTACTCGTCTCTAGCTGCACGAGCGCTTTCAGCAGGACTTCCCAGTCCTGCTTCTGCACTCTGACAGGGGTGGTGAGTTCTCCTCTGGCGTCCTTGAGACGTTCTGCCAGGATGAGGGCATCGCCCAGTCGTTCACGCTTCCGGCCTCTCCGCAGCAAAATGGGATCGCTGAGCGTCGCATTGGCCTGATCATGGAGGTTGCTCGTACCTCCATGATCCATGCGGCTGCTCCCCATTTTTCTGTGGCCGTTTGCGGTCCGATACGCCGCGCATCAGCTCAACCTCTGGCACCGTGTCTCTGCTCCAGAGACCTCGCCCACACTCCGTTGGACGGGACAGCCTGGTGATGCGTCGTCGTTTCGGGTCTGGGGCGCGCTCTCCCTTGTTCGCGATACCAAAGCGAGCAAGCTCTCTCCTCGCACTCTCCGCTGTATCTTCCTGGGCTTCCCCACTGACGCTCCACCCTGGCAATTCTACCACCCTGCCTCGCGTCGTGTTCTGTCCTCTCAGGACGTCACCTTCGACGAGTCGGTCTGTTACTACCGACTTCAGCCAGTCCCCCTCGCACCTCTCTTCCTGGTACCAGTTCCCCCCCCTGGTAGACCCCCTTCCCCCACAGGGTCCTGCTCCCTCAGGTGTGTCCCAGGTAGACCCACCCCCCTTGGATGAGCCAGTTGAAATCTCTTCTAGCTCCTCTGACTCAACTGAGAGGGGTGAGGCCGTCGTCGACGACATGGCAACCACTCGCCACACTCCTCGCTTGGAGACCCCCCCGGGTTTCCCGCCTCGGCCGTCTTCGCAGGACGCATGCAGGGAGGTAGTTATTATAGCCGCCTTAATATAACAATTCATTATCAGTGAAAAGATCTTCATTACGCCAGAGCCAAAATCCTTCAGCTTCTTATGACAGCTATCTCCCAGAAACATTAGCTTACATCCAGGTCTCATACTATGTACCACCTATAACACCATTTGCCCCATCAATCCCACCCAAAAGAAGCTCATATGAAAATGAATCACACCACCACTCTTCACATGGCTGCCTTGGATGTCAGCTTCTGAGACATGCGCTGGGCAAGGCCTTGGTCGCACTGCACAGCAACAAAAGGTTCAACAGTCAGATGTGATGATGGGATTAACCTCAAATTTTGAGGTGAGGGCAAGGAAAACAAGCGTATGTCACTCACCTGCGACCAGTAGGAGAGCCAGATGCTGCGGACCTCGGGAGTTGTCCTTGGGTCAGTCAACAATTCAGCAAAGCGGTTGATGAATCGCTCTTGCCTGCAACTCAAAGCAACATGAAACATATCAATACAAGCACACTTACGACCTCAATTCACTGTAGACACTATCTGTAAGGCAATTCACTGGGAACACTACAGCCAAAAACACATTACCTGTCAGCGGGCAAGGAGCGGAACCTCTCGCCAGCCTGCTGGAAGTTGTTCTCCTTCTCAATCACCCTCTGCATCATGTTTCAGAGCAACATACCACAACAGAATGTCAGTAAAACAAACTTTACTGCAGCAAGCAAAATGCCGCATTCCCCAATTAAGAAGAAGCTGCGCTTTCAAGCAGCCACAGGCTCAGCAGGTTCCCTGAGAAAAAGAAAAGGACTAACCTTCTCCCTGCGTCCGGTCAGCACGCCCTTGGGAACTGGAGTTTGAGCAGCATGGCGAGACGGGTCAAAGCGGGATGGGAAGTAGTTCACCTGCAGGAAGGCATCGTAAGAACAATTTAAGTGTTTCTTCAGAACCACGTTCAGTCCAGCAACACTCACCTACCGCACCAACAGTCCCCTCCCATACCCTCCCCACCATCAACCACTATTCTTCCCATCCACTTAACCTCCCCATCAACCACTAGTCTTCCCATCCATTCTCAACAAACCCTTCCCTTTCCTGAACAAACACCCCACAGTGACAGACGCCTATGCCTCTCCTCTCTGCCTCACCTCCTCGTCACGGTGCATGAAGTTCATGTAGCCCTCGTGGTGGTTGTTGTGAAACGCGCACTTGGGCGCGTTCACGGGCAGCATGAGGTAGTTGGGGCCCAGGCGGTGCCTCTGCGTGTCCGAGTAGGAGAAGACCCTCGTCTGGAACATGGTGTCGTCCGTGTAATAGATGCCGGGGACGATGAGGCCCGGGCAGAACGCCAGCTGCTCGTTCTCGGCAAAGAAGTTGTCAATGTTGCGGTTCAGCACCATGCGACCCACAGGCTGCGCGAAGGGGAGAAGAAGTGGATACAGAGAGACAAGAACATATCATCGACTATCATATTACATACACGTAACAGCAGTGGATGATGCGAGACCAAACGTGGAGTAACGGTGGTAAGAAGAGCACCAAGTGAGGAATGTACCTGAAGAGGGAACAGGTTCTCAGGCCAGATCTTCGTGTCATCAAGAGGATCGAACTCGAACTTGTCCTCGTCAGCAGGGTCCATGGTCTGGATGAAAAGCTTCCACTCGGGGTAATCGCCTGCAGAAATGGCGTCCTGCAGGTCCTGCGTGGCGTGGCTGTGGTTGCTGCCTCCCACAATCACCGCCTCCTCCTCGACCAGGAACTTCACGCCGCACGTCGGCTTCCAGTGGAACTTGACGTACGTCTCCTTGCCCGCCTTGTTAATCAGCTGCGGGAAAACACGATGACGCGTCGTCATTCCGGAACATTCACTCACTGTTACCCAAAACGGTTCGTAAAATGGCAACTCCAAAGAACGGGATCGATGCATGAAGACAGAGACGTACCTTGAAGGTGTGGACTCCGAAGCCCTCCATGTGGCGGTAGTCCGAAGGAATACCCCAGTCGTCGAACAGCCAGGTGAACATGTGGCAGCTCTCAGGGATGTGAGAGAACAGGTCGGCAATGCGCCAGCCCTCCTGGATGTGCGTCTTCGGGTTCGGCTTGAGCGCGTGGATGACATCAGGGAACTGCCAAGAGCAAGGAAAACGATGCGTGTGGTAATTGCAGGCAATTCACTATACTCGGCAACGCGAAGTTCACCAGTTTTAAGACTTGACTAAAAAAAACTGGTCTTATCGACACTAACCTTGATGCCATCACGGATGAAGAAGACAGGGATGTTATTCCCGACCATGTCGAAGTTGCCTTCGCGCGTGTAAAACTTGATAGCGAAGCCGCGAGGGTCGCGGAGAGTCTCCGGAGAGCCGCGCTCGTGGATGACGGTGGAGAAGCGGACAATCAGGGGCGTCTGGACGCCTGGCGCGCGCAGGAAGTCCGCGGACGTGAGGTGGGAAATATCGTGCGTGACCTCGAAGAAGCCCTTGGCACTCGCACCCCGAGCGTGGACAACGCGCTGAAACGAAAGAGAAACTGACGATTAAGCAACAATTTTAATGCGCCACTATAACGGGAAAACCTTCCCACACATTATGTATCAAGTAATTCACCTCTGGGATCCTTTCCCTGTCGAACTGGGCAAGCTTCTCGATAAGGTGGTAGTCCTCCAGAAGTACGGGGCCTGGAGGAACGAAGCAGAGAAGACTTAAATATTCAGCGATAACGTTATAGACACGATTATCACAATCGAGAAATCCAGAGACTTACCGCGAGGACCAACTTTTAGGGATTGGTTATTGTTGTAGACGGGGGCCCCATAATTGGTGGTCCAGTACGGAGAGTTGAACGCGCTCGACGGGCGGAACTGCGACGAGGACGGAACAGGAATAAGGCGATTGAGTCCAAACAGGACATCGGTAGCCACAGTCGCGTTTCTGCATGAAAATATATGACATAGCCAGCCTATTATTAGCACGTAGCGACATGCAGTAATTCCTACGCTTACCTTATAGGGATCCATGGCTGTCGCGCAAAACTACAAAATCACCCGACAGCAGAGATAAGAGCCAAGACGAGCTCCGAAGCACACGGAATTGACCCAATCTATTCGGAGCCTACCTCCTGGTGGATGGAAAACCAGCAGCTAGTCAACAGGGCACAATGTATATTTGTATGGGAATAGCTTCAAGTGCCTGAACTTGCTTGCCTGCCTGTCTAGTTGTTTGCCTGGAGATTGCGGGATTCTGTTCCTGGATGGAATTCATGCTCGTGGTGAGGTGGATGGGATGGGATTCGCACAAGGTGGGGCTGCCGCAGGGACCACTACACACGGGCAAAAGGTCCAGAAGAGTGTCATGCACACTCATGCTCTGGACTTAGCCACGTCATAGTCAGCCCAAGAAAATTCCACGTATGCCTGCGCAAAGAACTGCGGATGACACCGTTTGTGCAAGCCCGAGGGATTCGTTATCTGTCATGAATGTTTCAGCGTAGCACTTCCCCTCTGCATGTGTGGACAAGTCAGCATCATAACCAATCTTTGTAGCTTCTATATGCAATAAATATATGCTGCAGACTCAGGGTTTGGCCTGGAAAATAAATGCTTGGGAATAAACCAGCTTTTGTTGTTACCGTTCATCAATTTGACAAATAATTTATATGGTTGTTGATTTCAGCCATTATTTGGCGTGGCACACGTTCATGTCAAAACATAGAGTTATGTCTATTTCACTCTAGGTTGTGTAGGGGTCATCCCTTAGAGGGTACAACCCAATTCTCTCGACACTCTTGTACTCCCTCTCCCTTACCTAATGACCATCCTCCTCACCTAGCTAGTGATTCTAACATGGTATTAAGAGCACAATGCTCCTTAGGACCGAAATTTTAAAAGGGCCCACCACTACTATTTCGATCTACTGCCCGAGTCGCGCCCCTAGGAGAAACGCGAAATTCGAAACCGTGCTCTAGGCGAGACGGTTCCTTTTTCTGCCCTAGACGCGATTTTCCTTCCTAGTCACGTGCGACCCCCCCTGACCGCGCCCTAGCTGCCAGTACAGCCCGCCTAGGCCCGTCGCGAAGCCCGTACAGCCCGCGTAGGCCCGTCGCGAAGCCCGTACAGCCCGCGTAGGCCCGTCGCGAAGCCCGTACAGCCCGCGCCAGGCCGTCGCGCAGCCCGTACAGCCCACGTCAGGCCCGCACCCAGCTCGTCAAGCCCGCGCCAGGCCCGCACGCAGCCCTTACAGCCCGCGCCTGGCCCGCACGCGGCCCGTGTTACTGCTGCACTCGCTGCTGCTGCTACACTGCTGCGCCTGAACTGCTGCTGCAGTGCTGCTGCCGCCTGTACTGCCCTGCAACTGCTGCTGCTACTTGCTGCAGCTGCTCCTCCTTGCTGCCGCTGCTGCTACTACGGCACTTGCTACAGCTGCTACTGACTGAAGCTACGGCTGCTACAGCTAGTGCTACTGCTGCAGCTCCTACTCCAGCACTTGCTACAGCTACTATTGACTGAAGCTACTTCTGCTACAGCTAGTGCTACTGCTGCAGCTCCTACTCCAGCACTTGCTACAGCTGCTACTGACTGAAGCTACGGCTGCTACAGCTAGTGCTACTGCTGCAACTCCTACTCCAGCACTTGCTACAGCTACTATTGACTGAAGCTACTCCAGCTACAGCTAGTGCTACTGCTGCAGCTCCTACTACTGCACTTGCTACAGCTGCTACTGACTGAAGCTACTTCTGCTACAGCTAGTGCTACTGCTGCAGCTCCTACTCCAGCACTTACTGCAGCTGCTCCTTGTCAGAAGTAGTAGGAGTACGGCCTAGGCTTAGTAGCCTAGGCCACAGTAGGACTAGTAACGAGGAGCCAAGTACGAGCTAGGAATGTGTGTACGAAGAGAATTGAGGAGGAATGATTGAACTAGCAAGCAGCAGGATACAAATAGCAAACCCTAAGGGGCTGTACTCACTATTGAGTACCCCACTGCAGGCTACACAAACAACATATTCTGACACACCCCCATAGCCAAAGTGGGGTGTAATCAGCACAATGAGCAGTCATAGCAATAGTTCATAAATATGAGCAAAGCTAGTGGTAGTCACAGCGGGCAAGTGAGGAGGAGGAGGGACTGTGAGAGGAGAGAAGATGGGAGACTACGGCTGAAGCTGCAGACACACGGGCAACAGGAGCTGCTGGCACAGTGGCTACCGAGACAGCGCCCCGGACTACTGGAGTAACTGGCTCACGGGCTACGACGAGCTACAGGAGCAACGGACCCACGGGCGACAGGCGCAGCAGACTCTCTGGGCTACCAGGACAGTGCGCCCCGGACTACAGGTGCTGCGGACGACAAGACAGCAGCCTCCACTCAACCTCCCCCAACAGTCCCACACCCCTCTCACACACCCCCTGCTGAAACCCTAGCTCCACTCCCACGGCACCCCCCTTAAACTCTAAACCCTCGGCTCCCACACACCCACCCCCCTCAGTGGCAGCTGCAGCAGTGGGAGACGGAGGAGGAGGAGGAGCTTCAGGTTACCCACACCGGTCACCCCCATGCTCGCCACCCCACACCCCCACCACCGCGGAACGGACGGCGGAATGGGAGCAATGGGCAGCACGGGGGGGGGGGGGCTGCAGGGACGGGCCGCGGGCTGCTGCAGGTGCGGGCTGCTCCAGGGGCGGCTGCTGCAGGTGCGGGCTGCTCCAGGGGCGGCTGCTGCAGGCACGGGCTGCTCCAGGGGCGGCTGCTGCAGGTGCGGGCTGCTCCAGGGGCGGCTGCTGCAGGTGCGGGCTGCTCCAGGGGCGGCTGCTGCAGGCACGGGCTGCTCCAGGGGCGGCTGCTGCAGGTGCGGGCTGCTCCAGGGGCGGCTCCAGGGGCGGCCGCTGCAGGTGAAGGTAGGAGGACGGGGGGGAAGAACGCGCCCCCCAGGGCGCCCCGACGGCCGACGAGAAAGGGAGCCGTGCGGCCCCCCCAGGGCCGCCGCGACGGGCGACGGGAAGGGCGCCGCGCGGGCCCCCAGAGCCGCCGCGACGGGAGACGGGAAGGGCGCCGCGCGGGCCCCCCCGGAGCGCCACGACGGGCGACGGGAAGGGGAGGCCGCGCGGCCCCCGTGGTCGCCACGACGGGCGACGAAAAAGGGCGCCGCGCGGGCCCCCCCGGAGCGCCACGACGGGCGACGGGAAGGGGAGGCCGCGCGGCCCCCGTGGTCGCCACGACGGGCGACGAGAGGGGACCGCGCGCGGGCCCCCTTGGTCGCCACGACGGACGACGGGAGGGGAGGCCGCGCGGGCCCCCGTGGTCGCCACGACGGACGACGGGAGGGGAGGCCGCGCGGGCCCCCGTGGTCGCCACGACGGACGACAGGAGGGGAGGCCGCGCGGGCCCCCGGTAGCAGTAGAAACGACGGGCGCCACGACGGGCGCCACGGAGGGGTAAGCCGCCATGCGTCCCGAGCGCGCGGCGGGCAGAAACCCTAATTTCGGCGCCGCGCACCACGGGGCGCGCGGCGGACAGTACGGCAGCGGAAGCGAGTGGTGGGCCCATACACAGGAAGGCGGCAGACATGCCGCCCTCTGATACCATGTCAGAAGTAGTAGGAGTACGGCCTAGGCTTAGTAGCCTAGGCCACAGTAGGACTAGTAACGAGGAGCCAAGTACAAGCTAGGAATGTGTGTACGAAGAGAATTGAGGAGGAATGATTGAACTAGCAAGCAGCAGGATACAAATAGCTACTCCTGACACTCCTGACTGAAGCTACTGCTGCTACAGCTAGTACTATTGCTGCAGCTCCCTTGCTACAGCTAGTGCTACTGCTGCAGCTCCTACTACTGCACTTGCTACAGCTAGTGCTACTGCTGCTCTGCCACTGTGTCCGAGCCGCGCCGCTCAGCTCGAGCTGTCACTGCTGCTGCTACTGCAACTACTACTGCTACAGCTAGTGCTACTCGGTCTACTGCTGCTGCTGCTGCTGCTGCTCGGTCTGCTGCTGCTGCCCGAGCTGCCCTGCTACTGCTGCTACTGGAGGGAGTACTGCTGGGAGTGGTGGAGGTGCGGCCTCCCACCCCCACCGAACCGCCCTGCTGCTGTTACTACTGCTGCTGCTGCTACTTGTGCTACTGGGAGTGGAGGAGGTGCTGCTGGGAGTGTAGGAGGTGCTGCTGGCGCTGTAGGAGATGGAGGTGCTGGACCTACTCCTGACAGTCACTGTCTGTCATGGCCACTTCCGCGGCAGTCGCTGCGGCCAGGGGTGGACAGCAGCGGGCACTGCTTCTCCCGGACGACCCCACCCCTTGGCAGCTTCGTGAGTGGGTTATTCAGCGAGGTCGTCCTGGTGGTGGAGGTTATCGTTCTGTTAAGACCGCTGCTCTTGGTGTTAGTGAGTCTGCTGCCACTCCAGGTGTTAGTCAGTCTGCTGCCACTCCAGGTGTTAGTGAGTCTGCTGCCACTCCAGGTGCTAGTGAGTCTGCTGCAGCTCTAGGTGCCCGTGAGTCTACCGACGCTCTAGTTGCTAGTGCATCTACTACCACAGGTCCTGCCTCAGCTGAGGTCTTGCACACTTTCACGCTTGACTCCGGCGCGTCACGTTGCTTCTTCCGTGATTGCATCACAGTCACACCACTCACAGCACCTGTCCCAGTCTCACTGGCTGACCCCTCTGGGGGCCCAGTGGTTGCGAGAGCCTCCACGGTCCTCCCTTGTCCAGCAGTCCCCTCCGGCTCTTTGTCAGGTCTCCATCTCCCCACGTTCTCGACGAACTTGGTGAGCAACGCTGCCATTCAGGATGTCTGGGTTGATACCTTTATTCCTGGAGGGCAGCGTGTGGCGATCTGTACGTGCTCTCGGACTGGCCGTCACCTGGCTATGTTCACTCGACAGCCTGGGTCTATTCTGTACACACTGACCACTGCGTCTGCACAGGTGGCTGAGTCAGGTCAGGTAGCTACGTCGAGTCGAGCGTCTGCGTCAGGGCAGTTAGCTGCGTCTTGCTCGTGCCGAGTACTCACGCACGAGACTCAGCGCT